TTAATACTGTGTCCAATTTGGGCCTGTAAATGAAAGGGTATTATTTTTTTTGACAAAGTGTGTGCGGTTTCGTTTTCTTAAGTACCGTTTCAAGTAGAGCCAGACCGATATTAGGCATTTTCCATAATATCGGTATCGGCAGTTATAAATGGCCGATAAATTAATATTTACAAAATAAAATAAAAACGGACGAAACACGCTTTAATCATCTCTCCTTGGCCTGTTATATTGAAAATGTATGTTTTACAATTTGCAGTATGATGTTATCTATTGCTAAATTATGGCTCATCATAGACTAGCTAACCACAAAGCTGTAGCTAACGCCACTATCATCAGTGGAAGACCACTAACGTTAACATTAATGAGCTTGGAAACCACAATGAACTTTTTCTGCCTAAATAAAGTAATGATTACTGTATTTATAACTAGCATATCTCTAGTTACAGTCCCTGCATTGTAAAATATAAGTTATACTCGCGAGGAGTGAACATTTAGACATAGAGAAAAAGTATCAAACGTATCTTGTGCAGAAAAGTTAGCTTTTCATTTACACGTGTGTGAAATCCAACAATATTTAATAAAAAAAAAAATATCGGCCGATATATCGGATTTTAAAACCCAAAAATATTTGTATGGATATCGGCCTTCAAAATCCTTTATCGGTCGGGCTCTAGTTTCAAGAACCGTTTTAGCGCCGGAACCGTTTAAAAAATACAGATTAGATGCTGGTATCGGATAAACCCAACCGGTAGCCAACCCTCGTTAGATGAGACGGAACGAAGTGTGTGTGTCCAGCTGCGGGTTAACTCCAGATCGGTCCATTATGCAGAATCAATTGTTCCAACCCAGCGTGCAGTGACAGCTTTCTCTGCCTGCTTTAGTGTGTGTGTGTGTGTGTGTGTGTGAGTGAGAGAGTGTGACGGTGTTAGAGTGTGTATGTTTGTGTCCTTGTGAGTTTGTGAGAGTGAGTGTGTTTGTTTGTGTGTGTGCTCGTGAGGGTTTGTGTGAATGTGTTTGTTTTTCGAGTGTGTGTGTGTGTTTGCTTGTGCCTGCGTATGTTTACGTCCGTGTGAGTTTGTGAGAGTGTTTTTTTGTGTCTGCATGTGAGAGTGTTTGTGTGTGGGTGTATGTTTACTTGTGAATGTCTGTCTATGTTTGCTTGTACACGTGTGTGCGTGAGTGTGTGTGTGTGTGTTGTGATTGCAGGCTAAAAGCTCTGGATAACAGCAGGGATAACTCCAGGATAATTGGCTTGGCCAATAACACAGTCGGTGTCACTCAAGATATATTATAATAAAACTGAAGCGGCTGCATAATTAAACGCGTCCTACACACTCCACGTTCATGATCTTAATTAACAGCACCTCGTTCTGATCCGCGTTATCTGTTGACAGTAATTGTTTGGTCCATGTTATAATGCATAATTTGAGCATCACAGAGCTTGAACTTTCACCTCGAAGAATCCGTATACAGATCTCAGTGTTTGATCCGTCGAGAGCGTTTATTATTTACCATTCAAACGCTGGTGGTCAGTAACATTTTTAATGCTTTTGAACGAGTCTCTTCAAGGCTGTGTTTATTTGATCAGAAATACAGTAAAAATTGTGAAATATTATTGTAATGTAAATCATCTGTTTTCTATGTGAATATCCAGTAAAGTGTCATTTATTCCTGAATTTATCATCATTACTCCAGTCTTCAGTGTCACATGATCCTCCTGAAATCACTCTAATATGAGGATCTGATGATCAGTTATGATTATTATCAGTGTGTCTTTGATGAATAGAAGGTTTTATGAGGAATAGAATCTTTTGTCACATTATAAATGTCATTTTTGATCAATTGAAATCGTCTTTGCAGAATGAAAGCATTAATTTCCTCGACACGTGTCGACATGAAGAGCGCAGCCGAACTGAGCGGTCGCCGGACCGGGCCTGAGGTGTCCGCCGCAGACGCCTGTTAGATAACACATTAAGGCCGGCCTTTGTGGGAAAAACAAATTAAATGTAATTTCAAGCTGTGCGATTGCTTGTCTTCCGGCTCCTGCTGTCTCTTTCACGGTTTCGCTGAAGTGGACTCTACCGCTCCAGTGTCGCACATCAGACTCACTCGGCACACGTTTAGCACAGGCCTGGTAGAGAATTAGAGGTAATGCGTACAATAAGAACAATACTTCTAATGCATTTATTAATATAGTTTTAAATGTGTGTGTGTAGTGTGTATAATTAATTTGTATATATAAATACCCACACATGCATGTATATATTTAAGAAAAATGTGTTATTAATATATCAAATATTTATATTTATATATAATATTAATTGTGAATAAATATATATAAAATATATACGTATGCACATATTTCTTAAATATATACATGCATGTGTGGGTATTTAATTATACACACTACACAAACATATATTATGTAAACACAAACTTTTATTTTGGATGCGATTAATCGTTGCCCATCCCTACACGCCGCATTTTTGTTAACATTAATTAATGCACAGTGAAGTAACATGAACAAACAATGAACAACTGTTTTATTTTTTTTACTTACATTAACAATTATCAATGTTAATAAATCAATGTTAAGAAATAAGACCTTATTGTATTGTTTAGACAACTTTGTTTTAAAATCTGCCAAAACTGTACACTGTAAACAAAAAAAAAACACGTCAATTTTGCAGTAAAAAAACGGGCAGCTGTAGTTGCCAGAAATGTACCGTAAAAATACGGTAGCAACAAACTTAACTTTAAATTTACAGTAAATCACTTATTTCACTGTCTGCTATAATGTTAATTTACTGATCGATTTAAGTACGGTACAAATATCTGTTTTGTTCTAAAACAGTGTAATACATTCACAACCACCAATCACAGTGGACATGAGTCACATGACCAATCAAAGATCATCTTATACAGCTTTTCCCCAAGAAAGTTAACAGTAATAAACAAAAGCTGCACAGAGTCATTCACACACACACACACAACACCATTATGGTAGCGCACATGAAATTTTAAACAAAAAATTTAACAACATTAAATGTAACATAAAACCCTATAATGTTTATAACGGATTAAAAAAGCATGAAGAAACAGTTATTTTAACAAAAATGTGTCACACAGGGAATTGTGGGAATGTCAGTTTAGGTTTTTTCCACTGTAAATACTGTAGACGTGACCGTATTTTACTGTAAAATTATATTAAATCAGTTATTCACCGTATACAGTACGGAAATTTGCTCACTGTAAAATGTTGCTGCAGTATATTAAGGACAATCAACTTAGATGTTTAAGTCATGTCAACTTAAATTACATTAAACTGACTTCAGTTGAAATCGGTTGAATCTTTTATGACATATATATATTTTTAAATTGGATAACTTATTTTGAAAACGTTTTCATAACTTTATTGATAATGTATTTTTTTTTTTACAGTGTAGCCTATTAACAGGGTGTTTGTGATGTGTGTGTGAGGAGGCTCGTCGAGGGATGTTTTTACTGTGTGAAGCTGTTTTGTTTCTCCGGATGAACTTTCCCAGGAGTCTTTGCTGTCTCCCTGACACTGGCGCTCTGATCCCGCGGGACACCTCTGATCCGGGATCAGCTCTTACTGAACACAGCCGTCAGGAGTGTGTGTTCCCTCTCCACTTATTAGTGTTCATTTGCTGTAATGGACGCACATTAGTCCGAACGCTCTTTTTGCTTGTTTACATAAATAATGTAAGAGCCGCGTGCGGTTCCTGATCCGTCGCCATGGCAACAGCAAAGGAGACTGTTCCTTTAATCGGCTGTGTTTCGGCTCGGGCGTTAAGAGGTTTCTGGGAAATGTGAAATGTGTTTCTCACTCATGTTCTTGAGCGTGTGAGAGGGGCTTTCTGGGTAAGATGTCAAGGCGCTCCTGATGTTCTGAGCCAGGCTGAGATGTTTTAACCACTTTATGGAACTGGATCAAATTATGGCCATTATTTATCAGTGGATCAAAAACAGACTTATGAAACGTATGGAGGGATCTAACCAGCTGCATTCAATTAATATGTAATGAGAATTATTCAATATTTCATGGAGTATTCATATAAAGTGCATTAATGTCTTGTTTCAGGTCACTCTTGTACATAAATAGGCTACACTTCACGTGATATTTAATGACGCTATATATTTGTAGTCAATGTTCATTGATGCACTATTACAAAGATATATTTATTTTTATTATATATTGATTTTATTCTTCATAGAAACTGAAAGATCTTTGTGAAGTAAATCCCATATGAACTTGTGAATTTGGGATGATGAATTTCCCACATGAATTTGGCGACTGAAATTAGTAAAACGTGTTGGTGCTCTCGCACAACAGCTGTGTGTGTGTGTGTGTGTGTGTGCTGACAGGTGTCTGTGTGTGAGTGTGCTGACAAGTGTGTGTGTGTGTGTGTGTCTTCAGACAGCTGTGAGTTTGTGTGTCCGTGAGACATGAAAGTCAACATTCTGCTCAATTCATGAATTAATCTCTACAGGATCTTCCTGTTGTGTATTTGGGTCAGTAAGGTAATCAGGTGAGCCGCTCAGGTATTAGCACACACACACACACACACACACACACACACACACCGTAGTGCCGGAAGTCCTGATCTCGTTTCCAGCACAAGCAACAGATTCATGTGATCATGAAGTTCATGTTCATGTTCTCAAGCTCTTATTCCGTCCCCAACATGATTTATGTTTCACATGAATGATGAGCGGATGGATGTCGGCGTATGCGGCCGCATATTGGGAAGCAGATGTCAGTGCTAATGCACGTCTGTGGCGCTAATCCTGTTAGAGCGAAGGATTGGCGATGACAGACGCGGGAAGGTGACAGTCATCAACAATCATGAACCGCCTCAACTTCACCAAACTCTGTCGCTTTTCCGTGGGTCTTTTTACCGGTTTTGTACAATCGTGCGATTGGTGTGTGTGTTTTTGTGGCTCATGAGTGTGTGTTTGTGTCTCGCCTCTCCCAGCTGGCCGAGTACCGGCAGAAGAAAGCTCAATCCGACGGCCAGAAGAAGCAGAAGAAGAAGAGAAAGAAGCCCGAGTCGGAAGCAGAGGAGCGTCTGAGAGATGAGGGAGACGAGCAGCCGCGGGATCAACACACCGTGTTCTCGCTCTCCAAGACCCTGCGCGGCGGAGAGAGCGTCACACACGAGCAGACCTACAGCATTGAGGTGAGCCGAGGCGTTCGCCGGCGCGGCGCGGGGGGAGGGGCTGTTTCACACGGTCGTAAATGTTGCACAAACTTTTGTTCGTTTACATTTATTCATGTAATAAACACTTTAAAGGGTTAGTTCTCCCAAAAATGAAAATTCTGTCAGTATTTACTCACCCTCATGTTGTTCCAACCTCGTAAGACCTTCGTTCATCTTCGCAACACAAATTAAGATATTTAAGATATTAAGATCGCTCCATAGGCTTCTTGAGGGACTGGCCTTTGCTGTCCTCAAAGTCATTAAAGACATCGTTAAAATAGTCCAAGTGACTACAGTGGCTCAATCTTAACTTCATCAAACGACGAGAACACTTTTGTGCGCAAAAACAAACAAAAATAACGACTTTATTTCAACTATTCACTTCCTTCTCCATGGGCCTGTAGTCAGTTAACGTAGTGTGATTGCGTAAAGCTACGTCACACGTAGGCTCACTATTGGCTGACGCTGGTCATGTGTGTGTGATGCGTGTGACGTACAATAACAGAAGCTTACGCTATTAAACTAGAAACCTGACTCGCGCAGAGGGAGAAATAAACCAATAGTTGAAATAAAGTCGTTATTTTTGTTGTTTTTTTGCACATAAAAGTGTTCTCGTCGTTTGATAAAGTTAAAATTGAGCCGCTGTCGTCACTTGGACTATTTTAACGATGTCTTTAATGACGTTTCGAGGACAGCAAGAGTCATTCCCTCAAGAAGCCTATGGACTGTATGCAGGAGCGATCTTAATATCTTAAATATCTTAATTTGTGTTGCGAAGATGAACGAAGGTCTTACGGGGTTGGAACAACATGAGGGCGAGTTAATACTGACAGAATTTTCATTTTTGGGTGAACAAACCTTTAAGTGGGCGATTTAAAAAGTGTTGGGAATATTTGTTAAATAATGTTTTTTAAAACATACTACGCGCACTCGCGCAGAGAGTGACGTCATATTGTGTGCCCGCGTAGAAAGCAGCCGCTCAACTCCCGAGCGCGACTCCACCGTCAGGGTTGTGTACGGTACAGGCTCTGGGCATGAGTTCTATTTCCTGTCGCTGTACAGGCTCTTTTATTGTATATGACAGTATGAACAGCCCAATAACCCTTTTATTTAAAGGCTTAAATTATGTCCCGTAGACCGGTCGCATTGCGATTGAAAGCAGTGTCAAGTTCGGGTGTGTGTGTGCTGTTTAAATGAGTGTTCTCGTGCTGGGATACGTGGAGTTTTGATGAGTTTTATAGACTTTCTTATTCAAAAGTGGTCACCGCCCCTTTAATTTTAGGGTTTTATTTGCCTGCTTTAACCTGTTAAAGTCAATCATTTTATCCCTTAAATCTCATCTTTGATCACCAAAATTATATATTAAATGTTTTTTTCCTTGAATTTTTTCTATATGACTTAACAGATCTTTTTGATTTGCCTCATTTAGTATCTATGAATATGCAAATTAGCCCGCCTCCACTCACTCACTCACTCAGAGATCCACTGGTTGACGATCGATCACGCGTTGATCTGACACCGGTCTTGAGACTGTCTTTGGTTCACTGCCAGTGCAAAATAAAACCGCAATTTCACAACAATTATAAAGAGTCACTATTAAAAGTTACTAATTCAGGTACTGATATATATATGTATGTATGTATGTATGCACAACAACAAAAAAGTCAGCATTTGTACTTTAAGTTAACGGTTAAACAGACAATATGTGCATCCCTAATATATATATATATATATATATGTGTGTGTGTATATTATGAGTTGTTTTCTTCGCAGCTCTTTTGCCAAATTAATGCGATTATAAGTGCGTAGATGATTTTAAAGCCTGGCAGGTTTGGGCAGCATTTGTAGTTATAGATGAGTGTGAAATTAGTGGTTGCCCAGGCAACAGACAACTGCATTTGAAGTGGTTAAGTGTGTGTGTTTGAGTGTGTGTGTGTTTTAGTGTGTGTGTTTGAGTGTGTGTGTGCGCTCCGGTGTCCTTGGAGCAGAATAGCAGCACTTCCCGCTATTGTCTCCGCTCCGAGTGCAGCGAGTGCTTCATCTCCAGGACACCGGCGGCGGGTCGCCTCGTCTGTGTGCTCATGCGGCTCCGGAGTTAAAAACGGTCCTCTTCACCCCAGGCTCAGTCTTGCTGGACTCCTCTGATTGAGTGTTGTACAATGATCTTTACAATGAGAAGAAAGAGTGTAATGCGTAGTTGACGCACGTATGCATTATTTAAATTACCACGGCAAAGTTTCAAGTGGCCGTGTCATTTCCTGTTGCCATGGAAACAACGTTTGTGACTGTGCTGAAATCGGACACAGTAAAAGCAGACATTAGATATTAAACTGTTGTTCGGGTGAATATGCATATTTTTCCTGCCACCGTGACTATATTTTGTTAGAAGTTCCCAACTGATAAGAGCCGCCGCTTCTGTTGCATTTGAGAAACATTAGGAATGAAAGCAGAATGGATCCGCGCTTCTCGTTAGCGGCGTTCAGAAGCAACACTGGTTACACCTCCTGCCCACCGCGGCACCGCCCCCACTGGCCATTTGATTTATTTATTTATTTTTTTTCATGTAAAATCATTTAGTTCAGTTAGAGAACAGACACTATTAAACCGAACATGTCCGCTCAGCAACAGGAGTCAGGAAACGAACTGAAAGAGACTGAAAACGAAACTAAAATGTGCTGCACATGTTGACCGAGCGACTGCTAGCTCTGCTTTCGTAGACACGTAGTTTCGGACACAACAACACAACAGTGCCGCACCGCACCATTATGAATGTCCATGCAAAGCACACATTTATGTTTGCCTTTAAATTAGCGATTTAAAAGCCCCCGCCGTCGATCCTGGTAATACCGGTGTGTCACAAATCGATTAACCGGTGCAAAAATATCCTCACCGTCACATCCCTAGCACTCGCGATCACAACTAGTCACCACACAGCGCTGGGAGATCCAGTGAGAAGGTGTTTGAATTCGCCTGTATTAAAGGATTAGTTCACTTTTGAAAAAACTGATAATTTACTCGCCCCCGTGTCATCCAAGATGTCCATGTCTTTCTTTCTTCAGTCGAAAAGAAATGAAGGTTTTTGATGAAAACATTCCAGGATTTTTCTCCATATAATGGACTTCAATGGGGACCAAACGGTTCAAGGTCGAAAAGACCGTTAATAACAGTTTCAGATGCAGCTTCAAATGTCTTTAAACGATATCAGACGATGAATAAGGGTCTTATCATGCGAAACGATCGCTTATTTCAAAGCTTATTCCAAAAATGTAACTTTTCTAAGGACAAATGCTAGCCTTGCTCTATTCTGTGAGGCGCGTTTGTAATGTCATGTAATACGTAATTACGTTCAAAAGGTCACGGGCGACGTAGCCGGAAGTACAGAATCAAAATCGTCCGACATCGTTGTTTTACCTTTTAATTCCTTTTTTTGTAAACGGCGTTTGAGTTAGTTTGCACGTTCAACCTATGCGTTCAACTTCTAAACACTGACTCTGTACTTCCGGCTACGTCGCCCGTGACCTTTTGAACGTAATTACGTATTACGTGACGTTGCAAACGCGCCTCACAGAATAGAGCAAGGCTAGCATTTGTCCTTAGAAAAGTTACATTTTTGGAATAAGTTTTGAAATAAGCGATCGTTTCACATGATAAGACCCTTATTCATCATCTGGTGTCGTTTAAAGACATTTGAAGCTGCATCTGAAACTGTTATTAACTGTCTTTTGGACCTTGGACCGTTTGGTCCCCATTGAAGTCCATTATATGGTGAAAATCCTGGAATGTTTATCAAAAACCGAAATTTATTTTCGACTGAAAAAAGAAAGACATGGACATCTCGGATGACACGGGGGCGAGTAAATTATCAGCAAAAGTTTTTTCAAAAGTGAACTACTCCTTTAATAAGATCGCAGCGAGATCTCATTAAAGCGTTCACATTAGGAGCATTCTTATGTCAGATCAAACAGCGCTAACGGGGAAACCAGGAGAAACATCGTGCCATGAACGAACAAGCTATACAACGCTTTTCAATTCACAAATCACCAATATTCACCATGGGTTTACTGTAGTAATGCTAGCTGTAACCATGTGGTGTGATTTATCATCATTACTCCAGTCTTCAGTGTCACATGATCCTCCAGAAATCATCTGATGATCAAGACACATTGATGATTATTATCATTAGTGTTGAAAACAGTTCATATTTGTGTGGAAATCTTATGTAATCCAAATGTTTGGCCAGTAGTGTATATAACCAATGAAAATACCAGATTTATATTCAACTTTGTCTCATTTTGCTATCATTAAACAATATTAAATCTAGGATCAGATTAACATTATGAACCTCATACTAGATGATCTGTAGTAAATGTTTAGCTTTCGTGTGTTAATGTGTGCAGTGTTAGTGTGTGTTAGCGGTTCTGGTGGGTTATTCTGAGCTGGATGTAGGTCAGACGGTTATGCATCGGTGTAATTAGCCGTGATCCTCGCTAAAGCGAACGAGCGCATCAGGCCGCCAGGGCCAGTCATGCGTTACCCCTAAAGAGACACTGAGGAGAGTGTGTGTTCTCTGATATGGCGGTTAAAAAAACGCTGAGGAGTGTGTGTGTTCTCTGATATGGTGGGTTTCCTTCAGATCCTTTGCTTTATTTTTAAGATTGGTGTTTTTTTTTTTAAAAGCGTGTCGGCCTTGATTAATGACCTACTAACACAGAAGACTCAATTATCTGCATTTAATTGCTCATGCGACCTCATTTTGTCTTCTTTCTCCAGCCCGAGAGTGAGGTCTCGACGACGGCTGAAGACTGTTCGTCTGAGGTAAGAGCCGCTAGACTGCATCTGAAGTGTGTTTAAAGGGATACTTCGCCTCTGGAAAGATGAATGTGTGTTTAAAATGGGTCATTTATGTGGAAGAAATGTGAAATTATTTTTGAATTTGGAGCTTTCTAGACTGAGAAAAGCCAGAAAATGTATTTTTGGCGGATGTGGATGAAGGACAACAACTCCCAGAATGCACTTGCTACGCTGCCCTAGGAGGCCACGCCTACTGGTAACAGAGCGCAGTCGTTAAAGGATTAGTTCACTTTTAAAAAACTTTAGCTGATAATTTACTCGCCCCCGTGTCATCCAAGATGTCCATGTCTTTCTTTCTTCAGTCGAAAAGAAATTAAGGTTTTTGATGAAAACATTCCAGGATTTTCTCCATATAATGGACTTCAATGGGGACCAAAAGACAGTTTCAGTGCAAACTGTTCTAAGGGCTTTAAACGACACCAGAATATGAACGAATCTTTTTCCGAGTCAACTCCTTCGTTTCGTTCGTTGAATGAACCAAATGACACGAAAAAAGATTCGTTCATTTTTTTAAACGAGTTCGAACAGGAGAGTCACGAAAGTTCATCACAGAACAGAGCAAGGCGAGCATTTGAGCTTATAAATCTTAAACTTTGTTATTTAGGTTTTTTAAATGAGCGATCGTTTCGCTAGATAAGACCCCGCTCACGTAAACACTGCATTCAGCTTTTCCAATCGGAATTAATTCAGTTAGATTGAAACAAAAGCTGTGCATGTAAACAATGAACGGCGACTGCAGAAGGACATCGACGGCCGGACATGTCCGGGAAAAAGAGGATGGTAACCCCTACGACTCAACTTTCTCCACAGAACAAGAGCCTGCTAGCTTAGCTTCCAAAAAAAGATGGCCGACACTGTGTTCATTCTGTGAGTGTGATCGCCCTCTATGGGCGGGTTGAGGACATGCTGGACAGACCCGACTACCGACTGTAGTCTTTAGCCCCTGGTTGAAACTTCACAAAATTACGTTTTTTTACAAAAAATCCATAAATCTCTCGTCTCAGGGGGATATGAGGGAGGTTTTCTACTAATATAAAGCTTAATGCTAAATCCTGAAGTATCCCTTTAAGCGTGTGTGTGTTCTCTGGCTCAGGTTGAGTGAGTCAGGTTTGCTTTGTTAATGACTCGTGGGATGAAACTGTGCTTGTGGACGGTTCATGATGCAGAAACCTTCAGCGTTCGCTTGTGCTTATGCATCATGTGACCTGCGGTTGCCAGGCAGTGAAAGCTTGACAATCCTGCCTGAAATGAAGACCTTGAAGAGGCCGAAGTCTCACAGAGACCCAAGCGGAAGCTGCTCAGTGCAGAACCACATAAAGACAGATCACAAGGCACGATAAATCTATACTTTATGAAATTGAATAATAATAAGATTATTAATACTAGTTCTTATCTATTTAACTATTTTATTTTTAGTTGGGGATGCACCGATATAAAAAATTTTGGCCGATACCGATAACCGATAATTCTTTATATTTGAAAGCCGATAACCGATATATTTGCCAATAAATCTAAACCCAAATTTTTATATAATTTTTGAGAACCTGAAGTAGTCTCACCATTAAAATCCACGTCCAAAACACAATTACAATGACGTTCTCGTTATAATTTTATGTAGCGGATGTGACCGCCTTGCATGTTGCAATTTACTGTCCTCAAGCAATTCGAATCCATCATGTTGAACAGTGCGCATCTTAAGTGTCTCAGCTTTACATTATTTATCGGCTTTAATATATCGGCGATAACAGTAAATTGAACATATATCGGCCGATAACAATATGGTGGCCGATATATCGTGCATCCCTATTTTTTGTATTTTTTTTATTTCCTCCAATTATCAAATTTTTTTAAAAAACATTTTGTTTATTTCATTAATTTGTCTTTAAATACATTTATCTATTTATATTAAGCACATTTATCCTCAATTATCCATACGTTTCAAATATAGAATGAAACCTAAGTTAAAATAAGATTAAATATGGTGATAAAATTAAATTTAAAATGATTCGATTACAGAAATATAATACAGGGAAATAGAGGGAGCGTTGAGAAGTACAGAAGCTGGACGTCTGCACACATCACAGTATTTGAAGGGTTATTGTGATCAATTTTAGGGTAAATTATGTCATGTTTTGTGCTGTGATTTTCATGTGTGATGTTGTGAACTGACAGGTAAATGGTTTCCAGGAGAGGGCCGACAGTGATTTCCCATGGTCCTCCTGTGTGATCGGGGTACAGTAGTTCCCTCGCTGCATCTCTCTCTCCTCCTAACCCACTAACCCCTGTTTACCTCCAGCTCGATCTTTACCTTCAGCTGCGGAGATGCTAACGCTGTAGACATGCTAATGCCGTGGCGTTCTGTGCCATTTTAACCGCGCTCACTCAAATCACGGCTGCTTGGCATTTTGTTGGGTGTATGTGACATTGGTGGAGGAGAGCGTGTACGAATGCTTACGAAGCTGTTACAGGGAATAAGGCGGTGTGTCCACAGACGCTCTTCTGAAAATGCTTTGGCTGCTGTGAAAGTGTTACTAGCGTCTGATTTAACAGAGTTTCTGAATATAAAAATGTCGATGCACTGTACGGTAGCTCGTCATCTGTTGCTGCTTTACAAGTGGGATGTGGTGATTGGTCGCTGTGGTATTTGCCCAACCCTTCCTCCACTGTGATTGGACGCTGCGTTTTACCCACCGTTGAACGTTCCATCCGCCTCGTCACGCTTCTGGCGTTTTTAAATACGTGGCGCTCCCATTCAAAACAATCGGAAAAGTACGCTAGCCTTTGCAGAAATACCGCTTTTGTGGACACACGGCCTTACCCATCGACAGAAGAGGAACGAGAATATAATAAAAGAGAATTCAGAAGTGCTATTTTAGTGTAAGTAAGACACTATTATATTTTTTACTGTAAATATTTATTTTAATATTTAGTATTAATAGATTTTTATTTAGAAGTCATTTTTGTTTTAATTTTAATAACCATTTTAGTCATTTTGTTGAGTTTTTGTAATTTTTATTAGGTTTAAGTCATTTCAGTTTTTATTGTAGTACATCAATATTTATTGTAGTACACCAAATTACTCAAAATGAAATCATTAAATAGATGTTGAAATATTCAAATAAATTATTAAATTCATAATAATAACAAAAATAATTTTTTAAAATTGACTAATTTTTAAATCACCAAAAAAATTATCTCTTTTTATCTCTTTAGCATTTGTTTGCGCTCATTTGATTTGTTTAATTGTTTCTGGATTGTTTTATATTTAAGCACAAGCTTGTGTAAAAAACTACATTTTAAATAAAAAAAAACTTGAGCAAAAAAATACTAAATTTACATAAAAGGTACTTTTAGGAATTTGTTTGGTGATTTCAATAATTAAGTGGATATTTATGTTTTAATAATTGATCTATAACATTTAATAATTTATCTTTTTTTAAAAATATTTAAAAAACTGAAAAAACAATTGTTTTTTAACTATAATAACCCTGTGATTAATTCAAAATGTAGAAAAGTTTAGTAAATAAAATAAGTTTGTTTTTTTAAATATTTGATTTTACTTCAATTAACTTTTTTTTTTGTTTCAAGGAATGAAGATGTTTTGGCTAACTCTAATAACCCTGAGATTCAGTAGAAGTTTCCCAGATTCTCCTGACCGCGCTCCGGCACCGTTGGGTGGAAGGGGTGTTTAATGAATGCTTCTGGTTGTGACTCAGCTCTGGTGTCTCCGACAGGAGGAGGACCTCCCTCAGACCGAAGCCCAGATGGAGCCTGACCCGCAGAACCAGATCCAGGTCATGGAGGACGAGTTGGCTGCCAAGAGCATGGCCATAGAAGAGCTGAGCCGAGAGCTGGAGGAGATCCGGGGAGCGTTCGGGCCCGAAGGAGGGCAGCAGGTGTGTGTGCCCGTCCCGCTAACGACTCGTTGTTTTTCTTTGCTGTTTTTTTTTATATGCGTTATTCCAAATTTCCGCACAAGTTAAGTTTGCTACATAGCCACTCGGTCTGTAAACGTTTCAGAGACGCGCGTCCAGGGTTGGTGAAATGAAATGACGTGTCCGGTGTGTGTGTGTGTGTCCACAGCTGCCGGAGTTCGAGGAGGCGTTGAAACAGAGGGACGAGATCATCACGCAGCTCACCGCTAACATGCAGCAGGCGCGGGCCGAGAAGGAGGAAGTGATGCGTGAGTTCCTGCAGCTCACCGAGCAAAGCCAGAAACTACAGGTTCAGTTCCAACAGGTACCAGACGCGTCGCTACTGTTCCTGCGTGATGCTTTATCTGCACACCAAAACTTTATAAAGTTTGCTTTAATTATAATGATTGCGTTAGTATTGTGTTATTATTTAATTGCCTCTAACTACAAACTTCAACTATAACGATAACTGTAATAAAAATTCTAAAAATAACTGTAAAAATAACTAACTTTTACGATAATTCTAAAAATAACTAAGGATAAATATAACTGTAACGTAATTCTAAAAATTGCTAACTATAACTGTAACTATAAATGTAATGATAATTCTAAAAATAACTATAACGATAACTGTAACAATGATTCTAAAAATAACTATAACGATAATAATAATTCTAAAAATAACCATAATGATAACTACAATTGTAATGATAATTTTAAAAATAACTAACTATAACTGTAACGATAATTCTAAAAATAACTAATGATAATTCTGAAAATAATTAAAGATAACTATAATGATAATTCTAAAAATAATTGTAACGATAACTATAACTTTAACGATAATTCTAAAAAACTGTAACGATAGATATAACTGTAACGATAATTAAAAAAAACTAACGATACTTCTAAAAATACATAACGTTAATTCTAAAAAGAATTGTAATGATAACTAAACTGTAACGATAATTCTAAAAATAACTGTAACGATAACTATAACGATAATTCTAAAAATAATTATAATAACAAACTAATGTAATGATAACTAACTGTAACGATAATTGTAAAATAACTATAACGATAACTATTGATAACTAACGATAATGCTAAAAATAACTAACAATAACTGTAACTGCAACAATAACTATAGACCATTTCACAAGATGTAAACAACACTGGTCCAGAAGCACTTCCTGTTTCAGTTTGTAACTGTTTTCTTTATTTCACATGTAAAGAAAAAATCTTAAAGATGTTTGTTTAACTTTTTGATTCAGTTTTAAATGTTCTGTTGGTTGTATTTTATCCCAGCTTTTATGTAGTGTTAAAAAACTGAAACAGGAAGTGCTTCGGGACCAGTGTTGTTTACATCTTGTGAAATGGTCTGTAACTAATGATAATTGTAAAAATAACTAACGATAACTATAACGTCTGAGGTTTACTGTCGTTATGTATTGTATTTGTCGATACCCTGAGCGTCTCGTTGTTCCTCCAGCTGCAGGCCGGGGAGATCCTGAGGAGCTCCAGCATCAGCTCCACTGCCTCAGATCTTCTCCAGGCCCGTCAGCAGATCACGCTTTACCAGGAGAAGATCACGCTGTACCAGCAGCAGCTCGACGAGAGGGAGGCGCAGGTCAAAGGTCACCAGGAGAAGATCATGCTGTACCAACAGCAGCTTGACGAGAGGGAGGCGCAGGTCAAAGGTCACCAGGAGAAGATCACGCTGTACCAGCAGCAGCTCGACGAGAGGGACGCGCAGGTCAAAGGTCACCAGGAGAAGATCACGCTGTACCAGCAGCAGCTCGACGAGAGGGACGCGCAGGTCAGAGGTCACCAGGAGAAGCTAGAAGAGATGGATGCGCAGGTCAGAGGTCACCAGGAGAAGATCACTCTGTACCAGCAGCAGCTCGACGAGAGGGAGGTGCAGGTCAGAGGTCACCAGGAGAAGACACAGGAGCAGCTGATACTGATCACACAGCTTCAGGAGAGGCTGAGTGAAGCCGAGAGGGTGAGAGTTCACTGATGAACCGGCTCTCCAAATGCTTTGGTGGAAAAGGGGTAGTAGTGTTGTCAAAAGTACAATCTCGCAATTCTGAGAAAAAGTGAGAATTGTTAGAAAAATCGCAATTACCTTTTTTTAAATTTGATGACTGATTGTAACAATAAAAACCATAACGATGACTATGATTATAACGATAATTATAAAAATAGTTATAACGATGAAACGATGCCTGTGATTGTAACGATTATTATAACAATAGCTATAACGATGTCTATGATTGTAACAATAATTATAAAATAGCTATAACGATGAAACGATGTCTATGATTGTAACGATTATTATAACAATAGCTATAACGATGAAACGATGTCTATGATTGTAACGATTATTATAACAATAGCTATAACGATGTCTATGATTGTAACAATAATTATAAAATAGCTATAACGATGAAACGATGCCTATGATTGTAACGATCATTATAAAAATAGCTCACTCCTTTTTTTATCCTCAAAAAGCCTAAACACTCTCAATAATCAAGCCGTGTGGATTTTCTGAGCACTATGATGTCATTTTGCTCATGCTCCGCCTACGACCGCTGACACACTGTCTCGTATTAGCATTTTTGCTATATTAGCATATTTGCTAGATGTTTTTGAGGAGGTAAAAGGTTGTTGTTTTACACAATAATGTAGGTGTTTTAACCAAACTATGTTAAAAACTTTACATTAAGACCCTAAAGACTCGCACCAACTTGTGGAAAATGGTCATCTGTCGACACCTTTTAGAAAAAACGAACGATTAACTGTGTGATAAACCCCCTGACTGAATGGTCTCAGTTTTTGTCTAATAAAATTAAATGCTACTTGTTTGAAATAAAAACATGCCGTTTTCTCTGTCATCAGTTCCGCACGCAATCCGAAGAATCGTCTGCGCTGAGTTTACGAGATAAGGACTTGCTGAACACCGAACATCATCAGCATCAGCAGTCGATAGCGCAACTTCAGGATCAGCTTCTGACCAGCAAACAACAGGCGGAAGAAGCGAACAGGCGTTTGTCAGCGAAAGCCCAAGAGCTGGACATCTGCGAACGAGAGCTGACCGTGTCCAGGCAGAAGGAGCGCATGTCTTCGGGAGAAATCCTGCAGCTCATGAAAACCGTGGAGGATCTTCAGCAGCGCTGCCATCATCACGGCAGCCAATCAGAGCGCGACACGCTGCGAGCCGAACTCGACGAGATGTACGGGGAGCAGATCGTGGCCATGAAACACGAGCTCCGGGTTCAACACGCGGCCGAAGTGGACCGAATCCGAGAGCAAAGTCGCGCCGAAGTGGAGAAAATCGTTCAGGAGCACCAATCCGAGATTGAGAAGTTCAAAGGTCAGGTGTTTCAGAGCAACGTCCTGAACGTGAAGGTCATCGAGCTCCAGCAGAAGCTGCAGGAGACGCTAGTGCTACGAGAGAAAGCGGAGCAGGAGTTAGCGCGGATGAGTGGAGAGAAACTCAGTCTGGCGCATCAAGTGGAGCGTCTACACAACGAGTTGCGGAGCGTGAGGTCAGAGGTCGGTGAGGTGCAGCGCCTACGTGACGCGCTTGATGCCGCGCAGGCGGCTAACGTCGAACTCGAGGTCAAACACGAATCAGAGATTACGAACTATAAGATTAAACTCGACATGCTAGAGCGGGAAAAAGACGCGGTGTTGGATCGCATGGCCGAGTCGCAAGAATCTGAACTGGAGCGACTCCGAACGCAACTCTTGTTCAGCCACGAGGAAGAGCTCTCCCGACTCCGCGACGACCTTCAGCGGGAAGGCCAGCTCAACGTGCAGAACCTGCGGGACGAGATGAGCGTGAGACACCGCGAGGCTATCGACGGCTACGAGGACAAGCTAGCGTCGGCGGAGAGCGAGAGAGTCGCGCTGCTTCAGGCGCTCAAACACAGCGAGGAAAGCGGAACCTCGGAGGAGCTCGAGAGACGGAGACAGAGCGAAACCAACAATCTCCTGGAGCAGGTCAACAAGCTAACGCTGGAGAACGAGCAGGCGTCCGCGCGACTCGAGGAGCTTCAGGACGAGATCGACACGCAGAGGAACACCTTCTCCTTCGCCGAGAGGAACTTCCAGGTGAACTTCCAGGAGCTGAAGGACGAGTACGTGTTCACGGCTAACGCTAAAGCACAGCTAGAGGAGCGCCTGATCAGAGACGCCGAGGAGTTCGAGAAGAAACTCGCCGAGATGCGAACGAGACGCGACGAGGCGGACGGGAGCGAGAAACACACGACCGAGCTGATGGAGAAGCTCGAGGCGGTCGAGAAAGAGAAGGAGAGCTTAGCCGAGCGGCTCTCGCTAGCGGAAGCGGATGCTAAACGCCTGGCGGACGAGCTGGAGCTGAGAAATAAAGCGCTGGTTCGGGACTGCAGTGTTTCTGGTGGGCTGGAGACGCATCACACACACACCAGATCAGGGAGGGAGAGAGAGACGCCTGCGAGTACTACAGCGAGCCGGCTCGCTCCACACACACACGCACACACTCGCGAGGAGCAGCTCGCGGTCTCCTTCAGCCTCACGCAGCAGGTAAGCGACATGCTACCGCTTCATGATGATTAAACAGAGCGCTCGTGATGCAACAGTTGGTTTAGAAAGCTGCTGTTTTATCGGTAGACGGTCTGGGAATTATATATCTGTGCAGAACTGTGGGAGGAATCGAGGGCACTTAATGCGAGCGAGAAAGAACGAGGGATTATTGCGGTTCGGACAGAGCAGGGGGAGCGAGGGGCGAGAGAGATTGTGCTATAGCAGAGAGAGAGAGAGACAGATGAGCTTTATTCTCCTTGTGTGTGTGAACACTCTTTGATCTCAGCAGCTCTGATGGAAAAGCTCTTCATTTACACTTTCTCTAAAGACCATTTATGGGTGAATCTCTCTAAAACAGACGCAGGTCACATGCCCCCTGAAAGCGGAAGAAAAGAGATGTTCGTTTGCTCGTTTCCATCGCACATTAAAAGGCTTTTTGCTATGTTATGGTATTTGGAATTTTTAATTACAATTAAGCACATGTGCACAATTATCATTATCCTAATGTGGTGGATGAGTTTTATTTAATTCTACCGTAAACAAATTCTCATTAGTCAAGTAATTATTGCTGGTTTTTAATTAATTCAGCTTAAATTAACCGAAGTATATACATTACCATGATGTGGTTTAACGAGTTTCTTCACATTGAATGATTTTTTTGTTTTGTTTTGTTGCAAATTAATGTCACATGGCAACAAATCATAATGGCCCTTAAATAGGATTAGTTGCTTTAAATTGGCTTCTTTTCTTTTTCTTGAACCAATTGTTTTGTGGTCCTTTATCCTAAATATTTAGCAAATGACCGTTGTTCTGATCGACTAACATCTGCATATTGATGTAATTTACATGACTATACTTCAGTGAAGTTTCTGAACACTGCTGTTATGTAAATGTGGGTGGCATATGCTAATGAGCTCATGCATGTGACGTCGTATGCTAATGAGCTCATGCATTTGATGTCGTAATCATGCAGCTTTCTGATTGAGTTTGTTTTTAATACGAGTCACGTGTTGCTAGATTTGATGCTCCGTCGTCCTCACCTACAGGACGGTTGTGTGTTCATGAGTTAAACTCTCTCATGACGTGTGTGTGACGTGTGTGTGTGTGTGTGTGTGTGTTCTGCAGCATGAGACGGGAGATGCTCAGGTCGATGGAGACGCTGTCACAGCTTCGCGTGTGATTCTGCCACTGGAAATGGACGGCGCTGAGCATGTAAGTAATTGTCTGTCTGTGCACATCAAACTCGTGCTGTTCTTCATCTTATAGATGCAGCTGAGCAGTTTAGGAGACTTACACTGAAAGAAATGGTTCATGATGTACTTTGAAATAGAGCTGTGCGACTAAAAGTTAAAACACCCACATGATCCTAGTCCTAAATGACAGCGATTCGGCTATCAAACCTATTATCCCCGATCACAGTGAAGATGTGCGTTCTGACCCAGAGAGGTTTCCTTTTTTCTTTTACTTTAAGGATTAGTTAACCTAGAATAAGTTTTGTTATTAAGTATTGATAATTGTGACATTTCACCGAATTTAACGTTACTCGCATCATAAAATAAGAGTTTGATCATATCACCAGCCTATTATAATCTTGATTTCAATATTGAGCAAAATAATTGTGATTTATAATATATGTTTTAAAAAAGAAGACAATTAACAGTCCACCTGAGGGCGCCACAGCCAGTCGACCATTTTAAAAAGGCTTAAAAACTTTCTTATTTAGAAAAAGCTTCTTTTAATCTAGAATTTTCACTTTTTATGTTATCTTATTCTGCTCATTTTACGCTTGCTGTAGCACTTTGAGATCTGTTCGCAAATGAAAAGTGCTTTATAAATTAAAGGTATTATTATTATTATTATTAACATTTTGTCAGAACCTCTAGTAACTTGCATGTTTTTTAGTTGTTTGTTCAGAATCAGGATCTCCGTTTACCCAGAATCCTTCAGCTCTTCTTTGAAATAAGTCTCACTCAGAAATTGCTAGTATATTAAACAAATATTTACAAAGAATCAGCAAGTGACACATTGAATATAACCTGATTTTTCTTTAAAATTTTGAAATTAAAGACTTCTCGTAAAACGTGCCCCGATAACCTTTTCTCCAGAGTCTGTCGACGTGTCCGGAGTGTGTGTGTGCGTCTCAGACTGCTCTTGAGAGCTATTAGCTGAATTTGGCTTTCGGTATTAGCGTGATAGCTGTGACATTTATCAAACGCCTGCTATTAAAGCATCGCCGGTATTTCCTGTGAATAAACGGGCCGGAGAGTTTTCTCTGATTTTAATTGATTCTCGATCTCCGTATTCCTGTGATGGTCATTAAAATGCTTCATCTGTGCCTGTAGCGATTGTCATCACATCAATCCG